ATATATATATATATATATATATATATATATGTATGTATATACTTTACCTCCAACACTCCACCAAGTGGCTGTTGTGGTTCACTTGGCAGATCAAAGCAGACAGTTATTAAAACCCCCTGTCTGAGCATAACAGTAGCTTCTGGTTTCTGAACGGGAGAAAAACGGTGCTGTGCTAGCTGTGATGATGCTCCCCGCCATGGCCTCAGCACCCCCCGGGGAAAGCAGAGCCAGAGCAGCGCAAGGAGCAGCTCCCCGCCCGGCCCGAACACGCGCGCAGGCGCGCTCAGTCTGCTCCCGGCTCAGACCCAGGCGGGGCTCTCAGGCGGCTGCAGCAGCAGGGGGGCGGGGTGAGGCGGGACCACGTGGCTCGGGGTGGGACGACGCATGCGCAGCGCGAGCGCGGCAGGCATGGGTCGCAGGAGGCCGGCTGGTCGTGGGGAGCTGCGGCGGGTCGTGGTTTTCGATGAGGAGCAGCGCCGGTGAGCACCAGGGCCCCACTTCTGCCGCACCCACGTGGCAGGCAGCCCCCTCTCTCGCCCTGGGAAGACTTCATAGGAGCTTGAGCAGAGGGGCTCTGCGCGGGGCAGGCTGGTCCCCACCCCATGGAGAGCTGCAGGCCGTGCTGAGTTGGGCCCCTGCCTCCTGAGAGGCAAGGCAGGGGGTCTAACCCGGTGCTTCTCAACCAGGGTTCCCGTCAGATCCCTTTAAGGCAGCCCTGCTCTCCGAGCACCGCCAGGCCTTCGAGCACCTGTGCACGGTGTGGGAGAAAAACCTTGACGCTTCCAAGGGGAGCCCACAAGGCCCGCGGTGTTCCAAGCCCGGTTCTCTGCTGCTGGAAAACTGCTCCCTTCTCTCCTCCTAGTTGAGAAACAAGCAGAAGCTCGGTGCTGGTGGGTTTTTTTGCGGCCACCTTGAGTCTATTGGGGGGGTGCCGTGCATCTGTGATGGTGGGGAACCGCTGGCCTAACCTGCACTGTGCCTGTTTTTTTTCACTCAGTGCAGAGCCTCTTTTCCCTGGGTGCTGGGAAAGCTGACGGCTTAGCCAGACTCAGAAAGGAGTGGGTGGGCCCAAGTCTTGGAGGGAAAGGGGCATCAGGAGTGGTTGAGCACGGGAGTGAGGGGCACGGCTTCTGAACTGGAACTTAAATGCCAGCATTGAGGTTGCAAGTGAGAGAGGAACCAGGGCGGGGCAGGGTGGTAAACCCTGGTCATACCCAGTTCTCTCTCCTGTTCAGCACCCGATCTCTGCCTGGTGACAAGCCTTTTGATGTGCCTAGTGGATCATGGGCCTGGGCCTATCAAGGAACAACTATAAGCCTCCCTTAGTAGGGAGGCCACTGGGGACATACCAACTGATTTTTGAGGGAAAGCTAAAGAGAAAACAGGGACAGGAGTGAGGTCAAGGGTTTAAAACAAGTGCAGAGTACACCAGATGATGCTCACTAGCCCTCAGATGCATCCAAGGAGCCAGTGGACACTGCCCAGTAAAAATCTGCCTGGAGATGAGAGCAAACCAGAGACAAGAAAATGGCCCTGCAGTCTCTTGGGTCCTCCCAGCGAGAGTCTCCTTGCTGGCTAAGTAGACAGCTAGCTTGGCTAATCCAGGAGGAGGTTGACTAGGAGGTCCCTGGACTTAGTGGGGTTATGTATGGGGAGTGTGTAAATGAAAAGGTATGGGTAGTAGTGGAGCCAAAACCTCAGCAAGAGGTTGCGGAGGAAATGGTGGATGGGCTGCAGCCTGGCACACTCGAGGTAGACATGCACCAGGGTCTCCTTTTGCTTGTAGAAGGGGCAGGTGTCAGGGGAGTCTGTGAAGCATGCCAGGTATGCACCCATGGCAACGGCTCCATGGAGGATACTGGATGAGACGGACTTGTGGTCTGACCCAGTATATGGCAATTCTTATGTGCTTATGTTGTTTTTATGTTGCAGAGAGTACCTGACTGGATTCCACAAGCGGAAAGTGGAGCGAAGGAAAGCAGCTGTGGAGGAGATCAAGCGTAAACTGAAAGAAGAGCAAAGGAAGATGAAAGAGGAGGTATTGTTTCTCCATGGGTCTGTGTGGCTAGCCAGTTAGAAGTGGTGATTCAAGATTTTATGGTCAAGGTTGCATAGTATGTCTGGGGGACCCCATCTGGAATTGCAGGGGGGATGCTGGCACAGGTAAAGTTCCTCTCTGGCATCCTTTTAACAAATACACAAGGCAGGACTGGAGTAGTCAGAGATTTTGCAGGTTGTGTGGGTCAACAGGGCTTACATGGTGGTTCCAGGCCCACAAGGACAGGCAAAGGGTGTTGGGAGGGCAGACCTGAGATGCACAGACAGAGGTGTTAATGGAAGGAGTTCGGGCAGTACCTTTTCTGGAAGCTGTAGCCCATACTTATAGTTTCATAGTAGCTAGAGTCAGGAGGGACCTGAACAGATCATCTAGCCTGACCCCCTGCCACAGGCAGGAATGAATGCTGGGTTCATAAGACCCCAGACAGGTGATCATCCAACCTCCTCTTGAATTTGCCTAAGGTAGGGGCGAGGACCACTTCCCCGGGAAGCTGGTTCCAGATTTTGGCCACCCTAACTGTAAAATATTGCCTTCTGATCTCCAACCTAAGCTACTGTCAGTATAAGAATGCTCAACCCTTTAAACTGTTTTGCAGCTTTCTCTACCCCTGTTGTAGAGGGTGGGGGTACCCATGTGCTGTGGGCTTCAGAAATAGGGGGCATACATGTCAGCTAGTAAAATAGAAATACTGCAATGATTTTTGCTTCATTTTTAGCGGCACAAGGAGTACCTGAAAATGCTGACAGAGAGAGAAGAGGCTCTTGGTGAGTGTTTCCTCCCATGGTTGATGTTATTTGCTAGATGTAAAATGGTAGTCTGAGGCTTGCAAGAAATTGGCTAGGGTGCTGAACCTAGAAGGAGAGGTGGTAACTTGAGGCTCAATTTGATGCTTTAGGGTTTTATTTTCTGTTTTGCCATGGGGATATGTATCCATTCTTCCAGTCCCTGGGAATGGTGAGAGTTGGGAGTATGGCACAGACTCAGCAATAATGGCATCTTATTACTCCTGTGTCTCACTGAGAAGCAGCGGTGAGGCGCTTTGCAGAACAGCCCCTCATTTACTGACTGAAAGGAGGGTGGCTGCATATTGTAGAAGTGACAGGCATATTGTATGTAAAGGAATAACTTAGAGAAGATCCTTAGGGTCCTGTTGGGGTATGACTCCATTGTGTGGAGAGAGATGATGTTTGCTTGTAGTGAACTGTTACCTGCCTCCATTACTTCAGACTTGCAGCTTTTCAACTCTCAGTGGCCAGCTTACAAGATTTGGGGTCTCCACCCCTCAGAGCTTAGGAACTGGAGTTAGAGCGTTTTAGCTTGAGATGTCCAGCTGGTCTGTAGGGCTGTATATGCCTCTCCTGCATGGTCAATAGAGTATCTCCTCTCTGTAGATGAGGCTGATGAGCTGGAGCATTTGGTGACATCCCAGACGGAGTCTGTGAATATTGATCACCCAAACCACACGGTAACAGTAACCACCATCAGTGACCTGGACCTCTCGGGAGCACGCCAACTAGGACTGACCACTCATGAGGTAGGATTATTTGCTGTGGATCTCATCCAGCCTTTTCTATGTTAGCCTTAATAATTCCAGAGTTTGGCTTTATGGGACCAGTGCTCCCTAAATATGACAGTAGATAGAGCTTGCTCGGCACCTTACAGGAACAGAGGCAAAAAGAGGAGGAATGAGTAACTTCTACATTCTTCCCCAGCTTGTGCTGTTAGTCCATGAGTAGGAGCATATCCTTTGTCCTAAGGACTCCTTCCCATCCAGACTTAAGTTCTTTATTCTGTTATAAACTAAATGTTGTTGGTAGCCCTTAAGAAAGCTGTAGCCCCACAACAGATATAATTATTAAGACTGCAGCATTCCTCTGCATGGCCCCACCACAACGTCTGATTCCTGTCCTGGGGAGATCACCTTTATAGCAAGGAAGGAGGAATTTCTGGTCTCCCTGACCCATTCAGTTCTTGGCCTCCCTGTTGAGACTGTGAATAAAAAGCCCAGTTATTTTTTATTACAGTTATTTCCATTCTGGGGAAACCTGGGAACTCAATTAAGTTCTCAAATTCATTTTGTAGAGACCTCCAAGTATTACTTTAGCTGGAAACACCTTGTGATCACTTTGAGCCATGGCTGGATTCATAGCTCAAGCACCCACCAAAAAAAAATTAGCTGGTGCTCAGCATCCATGAGCCACAGCCATTTTGGTTTTACATATTGGATCTCTATGGCTGCTTGCAGACCTTAAAAAAACAAAACAGAAGAAGTAGTGTGTTACTTCAGCCCTGCTCTACAGTGTTAGTACAGATTGGGCACTTCAGCAGGGCTTTTTGGCACTTTTGGCTAAAGTTGATTCAGTCACCTATTAGATAAAAGTGCCAAAAATGTCCTACTAAAGTGCTCAATATTTACAGGAACTGCAGAGCCAGGTTGAAGTAACGTGCTGTCTCTTCTGGGCATGCATTAAACTTGGTGCAGGAAAGCACCGAGTTTAAAATAAAGCTCTATTTTGAGCGGGGAGGGGGTTTGTATCTGCAAGCACCCATCTACAAAAACCAAAGTCGGTGCCTGTGACTGGATTTGAACCAGCAAGAGAGGAAAGGTCCCCAAGTTGTAGAGTGAATCTTGTAGCTTCTTAAGTGCATCTTCTCTTTCCAAAATCCACTTGGGTTTCTTTTTTTTAAAACTACTAGGTTTGAGTCGTAATGAAACTTGGGATCTAAAGGGAAGTAGAATCATTTAAAAATTGTGCCTTGGAGTAGAAGAGCATTTTGGTTCTTTTTGATGTGATTTTTCTTTTGGTCTGTGGGCACAGGCTACAAAGTGAGGTGTTCAGAACCAGGCAGTGAGGGATTTGAAGAATTTGAGAATGAATTGGTCCAGGAAGGATGTTTTACAAATTGGCTGTGAGAATGACCACTGTACAACCACGGAAACCACCTAACACTGGGTAGACTGATCTGTTATGTTTTCTACTTTTCAGGAAAATGCTGACTCTAGGGAAGAGGAGACAACAAGCAGGCCCACAAAAGCATTGCTCAAGAAGTCTGGTGATCCTTTGTTGTCCCAGAGGTGGGTATAGGACATCACACGTCTCCTTCTACCTTGCCACAGGGATTATCAACCAGGGTGCTGCAGGATCTTCTTAAGGGCGTTGCACAATATCAACACTGTTTAGTGTGCAAATTCATATGTGTGATTTGCAAGATAAACCTGAAAATTTCATATTAGAATCTGTGGTGTCAAAACCATTCCAACCTATTGTGGTCTCTCTGAGTTCTTTGCAGCAGAAGAATTGCTCTAATATTTTTTCTGTAGTCAGAAAAGAAATAAAACAGAGCTGGCGTCTTCCAAAGGGTGCTTTGACTCTAGTATGGGGGTACCTTGACTCTAACAAGGTTGAGAACCACTGCTGTGGCATCTCGCCTACCCACTCTTCAATGTGGAGATCTGGACCAGATGAATGGGTAGACAGTAAGGTATTTTATTTTCACCTTGGAGTTGCTTTCATGTCTTTTTTTATTAAGTTGCTGTCATGCGAATCAGCAACCAGTAGAGGGCACCTGCAAAACACAAGTATAGTGGGGCTGTGGAGCTCACTGGTGGTTTTAATGCTTCCAGTGCATCTTGTAGGGAGGTAACTATCAGGTCATATGGGTCTTCCTGGCAGCAGCCGGAGGAGGTCAGTGCAGTCTGCCTGGAAGCTTTGTCCTCGATTGAAAAGTCAGCCCCCATTTCAGCAGATATTGCAAAATGAGAGAATAATGCAGAGTAAAATGTTTCGTTGAAGTGGGTCACAGGATTTTGGAGCTTAAGTCTCTAGCATTCTCTACATTTCTCAGTACCCAAGGTCTAAAGCTGATTTGACATCACAGGGTGGTATTCAGCTCCAGAGTGGCTGGACTTCGCTCCATTTTGGGAGGGTAATGTTTTCTGTTACATACTTTGACTGCAGGCTCTTTGGGGCAAGGACTGCCTTTGTGCTCTTAATATGGTCTCAACCACTGGGATTCTAGCCCATAGCTAGGGCTCTGCACTTCTTTAATGCACACAATAGTATGATTCCCCTCCTCCACTTTCGAGGGTGACCCACTCTGGTAGTAACAGTAATCCTCTTGTGCTGCTTTGTCCCTCCATCTGAGCAAGGTCCCAGAAACTCTCTCTCTGTCTCCACCTTGTACAGGATCTCTTCTCTCACTGCCTCGCTGCATACACGCAACCAGAAAAAGGCTAAGGGGAAGCGGCTGAGACATGGCCAAGACTCGCACAAGAAAACCCAGAAACCTAGCACTGGACGGACCAGCAAGTCCCAGCGCCGGAAATTGACTGGCAGACTGGGACATAACCAAGACTGAAGGACAAACTGAAGTGGAAATGATCTGTCAGGATAGGTTCTGCATTTGGAGTTGGCCTCTAGCCTGATGTGAAAGCTCAATTTGTTGTGGATGAGGACTTTTCTTGATGGGATTCTTGGTCAACAAGCAATGCAATGGAAACCCCTCTTGTGGCCTTTTGGTCTGGAAAATGTACATGTGCAGGCTCTGAACGCAGGCCCATGAGGTGAATATTATTCACCATTATTTCCATTATTGTGGAAAGTAATTACCACAATGAACTGTTTTATGTGCCAGGCAGTGTGTTATCTCCTATGCCTGTCAGCAGGTTGTGGATTAATTTGGACTCTGTCCTTTGTGCATCAGTCCATCTGTTCCCTAGACTTCCCTTTCCCAAGGAAAGAGTGGGAAATCTGGTTCTTTGCCTTACAAAATGGGAGATAGATACAGGACAAACCACATTAGGATGGTTTGTAGCACAAGAGAGGGCTTTACTTCCACCCACATTTACATTACCTGCTGTATAAGTCCTCCTCTCTCAAAAAGACAGTGTGCCAACTTCAGCATCTTGTGTGTTCCTTGTGCAGAGTTACATCTGAGTGCAAGGACACATCCCCTTCTGCAAATAACCAGATTTTTTGATAACTTCTCTGGGTGCATATCTTTATAAACAGCCATTTGTAAGAAAGCAAACGTGTGTGACTTACTAGATGTGGAAGGGCAACCTAGTTGGGGAGAGGTGAGGTGTTTGGAAGGTCTTGGAATCTCCAGCTCATTACTCCAAGAGAGGGAACATATGGGAGATGCTTCAGTGGTGAAATAACAATGAGTCACTTGCTGCTGTCAGTGACACAACGTGGTAACAGCCCTGGGGAGAGTATTGAACTCCCTAATGTGCTTTCCCCAGTTGTGCAATTCTGCCCATGTTGGGAGGAGGGGGCAGAGACCTCCCTTATTGCAGTGGTCAGCATTTGCCCCCTCACGTGGACTTTGCATAATGCTCCATTTGTAAATGCATAGCCCAGTACCTGCACTTCACCCAGACTCAGAGTAAACATTGCCCAGGAACTGCCTGTTCTGTTTTTCACACTTCATTAAGGCTTGTTACTTTGTTTCCCAAAGTCCTTGGGTCAAGGTTGCCTTGAAATAATCCTCTCCTAGCAGTTTGCACCAATTATGCTGTTAAAAGAGCACCAGTTAAGTTACAAAGTAGACATCCTGTGCTCTGAAATGGTTTACACACTTTAGCTGATAGCTAGTGTTTGTTTATAATAAGCAATGGGTAGAAAATCAGGACTGATGTAATGTTCAGCAGTTAAGCACATGTATCCACTTATCTAATAGGCATATCAGTGGAGTTCATTTTATGTTGCAGCATTTAGTTGGGGAGGAACTCTTTAGTGTTTCTGTAGCTTAGCTCTAACATTTTGCAGGAGTTAGGGGAATGCTAATGGTGAAACCTAGAGAGAATCCTAAGAGGTTAAAAGGAGAGGAAGCTTCTGCCTAACTGCAAGTGATAAAATGTCTGTCCTGATGTGTACTTTACCCAGCCCTGTGGTACCACAGTGCTAACTCTGAGGCCTCTGGAGAGGTAAATAATGATACTCCTTAAAATGAGTTATGTACAGAGACTTGAGCACCCCAGATGTTCCCTAATTCCCTTCACACCTAACCTCAGCCTTCCAAAAAAAAACAACCCCAAAGCAAATTGTGTTTTGAATTAAGGCAATGAGGGCCACCCTTTTTGGCAGGCATGCCACAAGTTACCTCTGCCCCCTCCCCAAGTGCCACTATGATCCTTTTCCCTTAATTGAACTCTTGCTCTTCTTTCTGTTCCCTGCTCTGTCTGCCACTGTGCTGCCTGTCTCCTCTCCAGTCTGCTACATGCCACACTGGTTGTCTGTGGCACCCGTGCTCTAGGTCAGCCACCTCTGAAATAGGCGCTAGTCCATTTCTCTCAGTGCCACATTGCTGTCCTCTGCACGCACCTTGTGGTAGGCTGTATTCAACCTCAGGAGCTCTTTTTTGCATAAAAGTCAGTGGGGGGTATGTGACAATCCTCCCATCAGCTGAGTCATTTATTGTTCCTTCACAACAGACTTGTTTTACCAGGGTAGGTAAACTTTAAATAAGAGAACAACTTCTCTTGGTGGCTTGTGGTTCAGCAGTGTGCTGTACAGCATAGGCAAGCAGGGAAGAGAGGACAGATGGCTTCATTGTTAATAGACCAGGCCAAGACTCTGAAGCTCTTCTTTGCCAGAGATTCCTCGATGGCTTTGTGCAAGTCTCTTAAGCACTGTCCCCTTTCCCCACCTGTGGAATGAGAGTGATAATCCTCTCACCCGTGGTCGGTGTGACTGGAAGCTGTTTAGGTGTAGGAACTGTTTTTGCTGCCCTAGCAGGCTTGGTGTTGGTTGGGGCTTCTGGATGCTGCTGTAAGACAACACGGGCTCAGAAGGTTCTTCCTGGGCAGCCAGGTTCAGTTTACTGTATTCACAGGCAGTCATGTACCCAAGGAATCCCCAAAATCCCTGCTTTGAACCCTCACACGCCATTAATTATGAAGTACATTATCCAGAACACCACCCAGGCCATATAACATGCTGTAGGTAAAGGCAAAGTTGATGAGGTTCCTACTAATGTCCTGTCACTGCAACAACAGGGAAATCTGATTGATTTATGCTCTGATGATTAAATAAGGACTATGCCCCATGTGACAGAGTAAGGAACAACTCTCACAAATCGTGTCAATTTTAAATCCCTCCTGACACCAAATGTGGTGTTTGGTAAGACCCTGAGCAGATGACCAGGAAAAGAGCTGGGGCTCTAAACCAGTGCATCAGGATTGGACTATGCACTGCCTTCACCCAGTCCTACATGGGATTCAGCTCCAGGGGCCCTGCGCTGCCTCTTTCTGGCCCAGTGCACCAGGATCAGGCCCTGCATGCAGCATGGTCTGCAAGCCATATGACACCGTGCCAGGGTCCAAGCAGTGCAGAGATACCAAAGATTAGATGATCAGAAAATTCATCCAAGATGATGTCTTCTTTTGTTTTAGTGGTTGTGGATAAACTAATTTCACTTCTGTAGCGAGTAGCTGACATACATTTTGTTGGTCAAGTACCTGTATGTATTAAAGAGGGATTGTAGAGGGGAGAGAGAGTCCTGCATCTAGTGAATCTTATGGAAAGCATTGGAAAATGTGCAGAGGCAAACATGCTTCAAAAATACAAAAGGGGTTTAAATACTGAGGTTTGGCATGCTGATCTATGAAGGGCCCATCCTAGGGGAAGAGAGTAGTTGTGTTTGGTCATAAAGCAATGCTCCATCCTGATCAGACCTGGCCAGAATCTACCCTTTGCCTCAGAACTTTTAATCCGAATCTGAGCTTTCTTTTCAATAAAATTATATTCCCAGATCTTATGGTGGTGAGCAATGTGTTAGAAAATAGGAGTCGTAAACCTGAGGCAGTGTTGCCTTGACATGTGAGCTACCCCGATGAGCTTAGTAGGTCAGTGCTTTCTAATGTGCTGCCAGTCATTTTAGAAAAAAATCCAGCTAATAGGGATATGAAACAGGCATAAAACACACCTGCCTTCACAATTGTTCCAAACCTCCAGTATCTCTTTTCCCAGCTTCCAAAACCACCAGCTCCTATCTCTGAGAACTTCTATGGATGTGTATTATCAGTATAAAACCGATGTTATATGGAAAAATGAAAATATGGGCGCTGTATAAAAACATAGTTCACTCTCAGAATTGCTGGCATAACTCTACTGTGTTCCTTTTTTGTGTTTAATTGATTCCAAGTCCATGTTCTGTAATGAAGATTAAATTACTGTATGGTCTGCAGCCTGCTGTACCACAGTCTCTCTCAACCCACCTGTATAGCGGATTTGGAATCAGATTGCCCTGGGGGCTGTTAAGACATGGCCATGCACAGGTAAGGGCAGCTAAGTAGATAAGTACTTGCCAAATGTATCAAAGTTCAAGCAAGCTAGGCATCAATTTTCTGCAACTAGCACTAGGGACATGTGAACGGGGTATCCTAAAAAAACCAAAAGCAACTGTCTGAAGAAAAACGTGACCCCTTGAACTGTAGTAAACCCCCTAACCCAGGAAATCTTACCCTGGTTCCAGTCCAGGGTAATTTCCTCTCCCCAGGACCCTGGGTAGTTTCTTCTCAGGACAGCTGGTTGTTTGTGAACAGACTTTTGCCTCAATATTCTCTTTTTGGAGGCAGTTCTGTTTGTGGAGCTGGGGCCTAGATACTCCCAAATGTTGCTTAGAGAGCCTCCTTCAAGCAGCACTAGTTTTCTTCCAGTTGCTTAGACACGCTTCAGCCATTTCGGAGTGAATGTCTTTGAAATGTGATCATACTAGCAGAAATTAACATGACAGTACATTTCCTCAGCTAAAGAGGAAATGCTGTAATCAGTTTCCTGCTTAGGCATATACATGCAAACCTATGCCTGCAGGGTTACTTGTGCATATGCATGCCCCATAGCTTTGCATAGAAGGATGCATACTTCCACCCTGGTTTATGGGTGCTTGAGTTTATACATTCATGAATAGGCAGAGCGGACTTTTGAATCCTTTTCAGATCTATTCAGGTTTCTGTATGTTTGTGATTAGACACAAGTTCCAGGTGATATTTATGCATTTGCATGGAGAAGCAGTTGTTAGAAGGAGCTGGGTGATTCTGCTGAGAGGATGTGCAGAAACCTGTGAGACCCCTGCTGTGTGGTGATCTTATCCCCAGCATATCTCATGTTTTAAGTCTCATGGGCTTGTATTAAGTCCAGATCAAGAAAGAAGGAGGGGTGGGGAGAAGCACCTAAATCAATGGAAGAGAGACAGGGCTGTCTGCATGTGAAGAAAGGAGATGGTGAACTACATGTGGAAGAAGCTAGTGGGGGGTGGAAATCTTTTGCATCTTGTCATCAGAAGCATCTTTTTTCCTACCAGAAGAAAAAATTAACCCCTATGACAGCCAGGCCAGCGATGCAAATAGAAGGGAGGAAGCAAACCTCTCCCCAATAAAGTCCACAATAGTATGCCTAGTGTCACTGCATCATGGGTTATAAAACTTTCAAGAAAAGGAAATTAAACTTAAAAAAAAAAATCCCCAAATTACAACACCCAGCATAGCTCTGGGGGCTTAGTTCCTACCCCTACGCTCTTACGAAGGGGCCATTCAGGGTGTAATATTCAAATAAGCTGCCTCCAGCTAACCTATCAAAAATAGACTGGGGGTGTGGCCTCTCCTACTTCCCAGGGAAAGTTTGTGTTGGTTGTTTGAAAGAAAAAAAAAAGGTAGCGGTGCATGAGTTGAAGCTGGAGCTTGAGCTACTGGTGCAAGGTAACAGCTACCTAAGGAAAGAGAGAGGTGGGTCTGCCATATTGGCCTTCCTTCTAATGTTAGTCATTGTGTTACAGTGTTAGAAATTGATTGAATCAGTTAATAATGGCCATTCTGCATAGATCTTAAAGCATTTTACAAAGAGAGAGTACCCTTATTCCCATTTTACAGAGGAGTAAGATGAGGCAAAAATGCTGTGCTCAATTTAATGAAAGCCTTTTTTAAATTTCTGTGACAAAAATAAAGAGTGGCTGTAAGGTTCTCCTCACACTCCCAAGCAAGTGGCTAAATATATTCTCATGCTTAACCAGGATTCATGGCAAATTAAAAAAACAGTCTGTGGGACTAAGGAGTGTGTGTTGCATGTTGTTTGCCTCTTTTTCTTTGTGAATTGTTACAATAATTGTTCTAGCAAAACAGCATCATAATCTTGTTTTCACAATTGCCTTTGGGAGGGTGCTATGGGAAGAAAATATTTCCTCTAATCAGTCAGAAGTGTTTCATAGATTCATAGATTAAGGGTCGGAAGGGACCT